GCTAAATAATTAACTGGACTTAATTTATTTTCACAAGCATTTTGTGAGGTCATCTGATCTCACATCTGCGAGCCACCCCACCCTGTGCCAGGCCACATGCTGGGGGGGGGGGGGGGGGGGGGGGGGGGGGGGGGGGGGCAGGGGTCAGCCAGCACCGCCACGGCACAGGATGAAATATTAATTGCGGTGCAGTCAGAAGGCGGAGAGGAGTGGAGGTGGCCATGAGAGCAGGAGGGCTTCAGGAAACCAGGACGGCTCGCCGTGTTCTTTAAACTCTGGCTGAGAAAGAGTCTGGCACTATCAATCAGACAGCGCCACAGCGATCCGCGGGGGGCATCTGAGTTTAAAGAGGTGTTAAACTTGTCAGCAGCATACAGACAAATCTTTTCAAGGGCCACTTTGAATTGCGCTCCCCCGACAGGGGTCCCGTGTGCCGTGGCTGTAGAATCCGCTGTGGTGAGGGACCCAGGCCCAGGGCTCATCAGTGCTGTCTCTTTGACCCTGGGGATCCGCCTGGCCGGGTCACCGGACCATGCCTTTGCACAGCGGGCCGCTGACGCTTCGGAGGGAAGACTCATTATGACCTGCATCCTGCAGAGTTGCTGAGGAGTGCTGAAGTGTTGTTAGCGTTGTATCTGATGCACTATAGAAACATTAGTTGTTAAAAATGCATGTGCCAAGTGTCAGTACGTTTCACAGCTCGGGCTTCCTGCTTTGGGACAGGCCGGGTAGGGGCTGCTGAGGCCGTTGGGAGACGTCTCTCCAGATTACCTCAAGGCCACCCATTCCGCCCCCGTCCCGGTCCTCAGAGGGCCAATTTGGACAGACACTAAGACAGAATGATTCTGCTGCAATGTTCCAAAGCCCCAAGAAGTCACCCCGTTCTCCACCCAAGGGGAAGATGCCAGGGAACATTATGCTTTTGTCGTTTTTGCCACGGTTGGCAAAGAATCCTGTGGAAAGGGCCACAGAGGTCATCTCTCTTGAGCTTCTAAGTGTGAGGAGTCAAAGGTCTGACATTGTAAGCTGCTTCCTATCAGCGAGATAATGGCACTGATGCAAGTGTGAGAGCGGGGCGGACTCTGAAGGTTGCACACGCCGCTTATCTCCCCGCTTGACCTTCGAACCGAACTCAGCTGGCATCTGGCACCAAAGCAGGCTGTCTGCCCTGTCACCGCGTAACACAAAATATATTGCACCCCGCAGTGTGCTGCGTTGTTGTGTCAGCAAAGCAGGCACTTACGGATCATTCCAGGCAGTACAGTAAATAGCACGGGGTGTGAAACGGGCTTGATGGATTTGAGGGGGAACGATAAAGAACGGGTCAGAAACATGTGCTCAAGTGAGATGGCCAGCTGATCCGATGGCGATATCTGCCCGTCACTCTCACATCACCATTCAGATGACAGATTTCACCCCTGTACAGAACACTCAGAAGCACCCGTGAATTATTGAAGTGCTGCCACACTGACCAGCAGGCTCTCTGGAAGCACTCCCTGCTAAACGTAGGGCTGTGCTCTGCTGAAACAGGGCCTCAGTCTCACTTCGACAGCCTCACACGTCGACGCAGATCTCCTGCCCCTCCATGCACCACAGGAGTTAACAGGAG